AGATATTTTGAGTTAAAATGACGCGTGACGTCACACTTAGGTACGATTTCTCCGTAAGTGTGACGTCAACACCCCCCACTCCCTAACTTTAATGCGGAATAACTACGTATTCTTCTGTTAATTTGATAAAACAAAAAATACGTGTCTGATATTTTCGTGCGATCTTAATGACGGACTAATTACTTTTTGATTTTTTTACCCTGTCGACACGCCTATTCTATAGTTACATAGTTTTGCTGTTTGGATTGTGCGAGAACAATGTAACACTAAAATCCAGTAGTAGTACATGTGAAAAGCAATAAAGTATTGAGTATTGAATATTGTAAAGAAAAATGTATAATTATGCTCACTTGTACCAATCCATCTTCTCGTAGTCTTCATTGTCTTCGTCTGCGAGCGGGTTCCACAGAATTAACTAAAGACAATAAACATAGTTTGGTTAGATTTAATGGGTGCTAGATCTAACAAGTGCCAGATTAAACGGTTCTCAATTCCATATTTGTCTGAACTTTAAAAAGAGATTATAATCCTAGAGTATTTTCGGTGTTTCTTTTTTTTTAACTAGGATTTTTTCCTGTATCGTAGGAGCATTTGCAAACATACAAGTTCACATACACATCACACCGAGACCCGGAACAACAATCTGTGGATCACACAAAGAGTTGTTCCGTGCGGGAATCGGACCCGCGACACGTTGCGCGGCAGCCAGTTGCCCAACCACCGTGCCAACCGTGCAGTCGTCTTAAGAGGGACATGCCGACTTCATCTAATTGTAATAAGAGTTTAGTTTGTTTGAACGCATTAATCTCCAGAACTACAGGTCTGATTCGAATAATTATTTTTGTGTTGGATAGCTAAATAACCGAGGAAGGCTATAAAACACTGCGTAGATAGACACCGTACCTCGTGTCGTACGTACGGCGCGATGAGTTTGGGCAGACAGTCGGCGACGTACGCGTCTGCATAGAGCGCGGGGCTGCGCGCGCGCCAGCCCGCCAGCCGACCCACCACGCCCGCCGCGCTGCGCCACGCGGACAGCGCGTCGCTGAATACTAAACTACTTGCCGCGCGGATCGACTCTGGAAACGGAAACATATAATCATCATCATCGATAGCGGTTACACCAACCTAACGCAACGACTTGTAACTCCTTCGGCATTACATATGTCTTTGGAGGGCGCCGATTGCTTACCATTAGGTGATTCGTCTACTCAATTACAATTCTACCCTATGAAGATTTAGGATTTGGTGATTAGAGATTGAGGAAGATATCTAAGTTACGGTAAATTCACTCATATGTTGAAACACAACGTTATTTCAAGCTTGTTTCCTGTGAAACCGTGACGTCACTCCGGTCGAGTAGATCCCCCGTGTGGAAGCCTGTCCCCATGTGTATGTGGCGTGTGGTACCTCTCTCGTGCGCGTGGTGGTGCAGTTGGTGCGGCGGCAGGTCGTCGTCGGAGGAGTCTCCGTCGCGGTGCGGTATGAGCGCGCCGGCGGCGGCGGCGCACGCCTCCCGCCGCAGTCTGCGCGCGCGCCGCCGGCCCTCGCGCTCCGCTGCACGACGCGTCTTCTCTTCGTTCTCCGTCCCCTTTGTCGCCCGACCTGAATATTGTCAAACAGGCGAGATACTGGTCAAACGTCGGCCCATCAAATATAAAAGAAAAAAAAAACTGACAATCATAAACTTGTCATTGTCCATTAAGATAGACATACATGTTTATTTCTCTTTCACGCAAAAAGTACTCAAAGCATTTGATTTTGACTAAGAGATGGGTATTCTTCAATAACAGAAAGTGGATTTTTGAGATTGTCTTAAAATTGTGTGATATTGGTTTGAGAGTGTAGTGACCTGGCGGCGCGAGTACGTCCTGCGCCTGGTCGCGCAGGTCGGCGCGTCGTCTCTCGATGAGGAACTCGCAGCGTCGCTTGTGGAGCGCTAGTGCTCGGGCCTCCAACGCTTCCAACTGCGGCAGCTAACAAACATACATACGCTTTATTACGTACAGTCAAAGGTCAAAAGTCCGCTGCCACCGTGAGTGATGTTCACACGGCAATGCGCAAGTAATTTCATATTAATGTACATAAAGAAAGAAAGAAAGAAAAAACATTTATTTGACAATTGACACACACGATTATAAAAAATAAAAATACAGACATATAAACAAAATACTAATAATAAACTTAAAAGAATAGACATCAGAACAAAAAACAGTGTAGTAAGAAAATAATAAAACAATGAAACAGAATTTTGAATATACAAAAATAAAACAAAAAAAAATATAATAAAATCAATTTGCGCGTAATTACAACGCGTGCGTACGCATAAACACACGCACACTGATACAAATATGCGTGTTCATGTGGGTATAAACGCTGCAGCGCAACCCATAGTAGTTTTATAGCCTATAGGCTATAAAACATCACGCTACGTTCAATAGGAGCCAAACAGAGCATTTGGAATTGCGTGGAAGTAGCTAAGAATAATTATATTATGTGATCAGTTACCTTCTCATCAAGGCACTCGATAAGGTCGGTAAGGTACCCGCGTATAGCCTGCGCCCTCCTGTAGGCGGCGTCCAGTTCCCCGCAGCGCGACGCCCGACTCTCCCGTATCCGAGCCGAGGTCAACAACCTCTCCTTCAGCTCTTTCTGCGTATTTGACGTTATGTCTCTTTCGACTTGAAGCTCTTCTAAACTGTAAGAACAATTAATTATTCAGGTGTAACAATATTTATCTAATAAAAGTAAGAACCGACTACAAGGATTGTAAATACCATTGTGACATTTTCAAAGTTGTATGTACTTTCTAATGGCAGGGAGACGAAACCTGAAGTAATATAAATATAATTTCAACTATAACCTTATTTTTAAACGAGTTAATAAGGGAGTTAAACTGCCTCGTTGGCCGAGTGGTCGCAAGTACGACTGCCGGGCAAGGGGTCTCGGGTTCGATTCCCGGGTCGGGCAAAGTATTACTGGGGTTTTTAAAATTCTCAGTAGTAGCACGGAGTCTGGAATTGTGCCCGGTATATGGCAATAGGCTCACTATACGCCCTATTACACGGGACTCATAACATAAATAGTGAAAAGTGGGTGTTTGTTGTATAATGGCATAATGTGCCTACCCCTTCGGGGATAAAAGGCGTGATGTTATGTTATGTTAAATAGTAGTAGTCTGTTTAATATATATTTATATTTAATTTATATTATATATATTTAACCGCTTTTTTTATCTCGCTATTGACTGGACTTAAATACGGTTTTCAGAAAAGTATTTGAAAGAAATGTAAAATAGGAAATCTAAATAAGTTTATCAATTTTACCGTTTCTTAAGTGCATCTACAAGTTCGTTAGCGGTCGATGGTGGTTGTGTGCCCGAAGTCGTCAGAGGTCGCAAGTGTTCCGGCGCCGACATCTGAGGCGCCGGCAGAGCTACCGCGAACGGATTCACGTCCATAACACTCTCACCTGTAATAAACAAATATAGTATTTATTACTAACAGTATAAGTTTCAGAATTAATCATCATCACCGTGTTTATAAGGTTTACAATCCCTGAAAATCACAATAGTCTTCTGATTAAAAGTTGGTAGCTTTTCTTACCACACAATAGGGATCTCAGTTAAGTAATGAAAAAATATTCGACACGTATTTTTTTATTTTGTTGTATAATAAAACAATACTTAGATATAACGAATCAAAGTTTAGGAGTGGGGTTTAAAACGTCATTTCTACGTATAAAATGTACTGAGAAGTGACGTCACGCGACATTTCAAATCAATACATCATCGAAAGTATTCGTTTCTGTAAAAAAATAAAAAATACGTGTGTAATGTTTCAAAATAATCTATCAGACGGACATTAAAATAAAAATTAGTTATCTACCCTATTAAACTCACACTTTTATCCTATGCAGCAGCATAAATATGCTTCAATTCCCACAAACCACAGAAGAATTTCTCAGAGTGCAATAAAACATATAGAATCATTTTATTATCTATAGTAAGTATGTCAGAAACCTACTATGCAACACACTCAAGTTGAGAAGACAAATAGATAGTAGAAAGCATAAATAATAACACTTGATGGAGACAACAGCTTCACGTAGCAACGGTATTTGAAGCATAAGTATAGTATAATGAGAGGTCCGTACACAGCCGATATTAATAATCGAGCTTAATCTGAAATCTTTGAATTAAGATTGGTTGGAAAAGGCGTAGAGGGCTTAGGACGACTTCGTTTTACGTTTCAAGTAATCAAAACGAGACCGCGTTCGACGCTCTGATTGGCCAGCTCCAATGAACCGACCAATCACAGCGCCGGACGCGGTTTCGTTTCGATAGCTTTATATGTAGAATAAACTCGTGCTAAGGAGTAGAGGCAAGTAATCGGTGCCGCCCACAGACACTCGCAACACTAGAGGAATTACAAACGTGTTACCAGCCCTACTTCAAACACTCATATTAATCCCGAGACTTAAGATTTAGACCGGATACAAATTTCGGACGTTAGTGTAGACAGTACATTTGTCGAGTGGTCTTGAATAGTATAGAATGTCATCAGACCAGTCAGATCCGCGATGACAGGCCTGGCTTTCTGCAATTGTTGTTCCTCCCACTCCTCAGCCTCGCTGTCCAGTTCTTCTTCAGAAACCGCTGCCGTGCCACCTGTCGGTATAAAACAAGAAATGTGTCTATTTCGGGTTTGCTTTATGTTGAAAGTAATCGAAACGAGTACGCGTTCAGCACTGTGATTGGCCGGCTCCAATGAACCAACCAATTAGAGCGACGAACGCGTACAAGGCCTTTGATCAGTTTCGTAAATCAACTCTTAGTCAGTTACTTACGTTTGGGCTTATCACTTGGCAGGTCCAGCCCCCTGACAAGTATCCTGCCCTCCTCCTCATCGTCACCGGAGCCGTCATCTCTGACCAGCCGGGACCCAGGGCCCGACTCTGACGGCTTCACCGGAATATAGTCTCCGCCTAATTCGCGAGCCTAAAAACATTACAAAATATTGGATTTCGATTCAGTATTGGCTGGTGACAAGACCATTACTACTTAATTTAAAAGTTTAAACGAATAATAGATATGAATATCAATTATACAAACGTTGGGTGGTAAGAAGTTGAAGAAAAATAATAAATAAAACAATGTACAGTCTGTAAGCAAGGCTGCCACTAATCATAGGTCTTGCCACGCAGCACAGATAAACAAATAACATTTTGCAGCTACATAACCTGTGTAATAAAGAGTATCAAACTATCAAGACAATCACATTTTGTTTGTTTACTTTTTTTATATTGAGTAGAAGAAAGTTTACTTACAGTAGTAGTAACAGTGAAGATTATGAAATTCTATCAAATTCACACCATGATCCGACAGAAGACCATCCATACAGACAAATATCAATAGCAATCTTATTGTTTTGAATAAAGAAGAAGCATTTTGAAGTGCTTGAAGAAATTGTGGTGGAAGATTCTAGGAGCTCGATAAATTACATTATGTAATTCCTTGACCAAAACACAACAGGTTTTGACTACATAATTGATGAAGTACAGAGGTCCTAGTCTTATCAAATTGGCTACTGAAAATTGAAGACGAAGAGTCATTAATCAAGAGCTGAACAATCAATTCAATGCGGGAGTAGACGACGATGAACCGCAGTCAGGTGCCGGCCAGCGCTAGTCCCTCACCTCTCATACCTGCTGTCTGGTCTTGCGTGCGGCGTGGATGAGCGCGGCGTCGGGTATGCGGCCCGGCGCCCCCAAGAGCGCAGCCCTCACGGACTCCGCGCGGTACCGATGGAACCCCCTTTCGTCCTCCTCGGCCTCCTCGTCCGCGCCCGCACTGTCGTCCGACACATCTCCCGCCCCGTCAGCCGCAAGCGCCTCCCGTCCGGACAGTATCAGCCCCTCTAACGTGATCTTCTTCTTCCCAGGTTTCGGTTTCTCATTATTCTCCTCTGTGTGGTTGTTCTTTTCCTAGATTTATATTTCATTTACAGTATTATTGTATAAACTAATGTTTACATTTTGTGTACAATGAATTTTGTGTAAATGACTTACCATACACATTTATCCTACACTCACAAAGTAATTGAATAAATGTGAACAATTAATGAACATAGAATGAGCAATACTTCACTTTACAAGGCACAAGAATAGTCTTGTATAGACAAGAGAACCTTTTTACCCGACTGTAGGAAGGGTATTATTTTTTGTCTTACAACCCTGTTACATTCCTAACATTCTGCCATCATTTAAAAAATTAACAGTAAAATGTTAGTAACAATGAATGAGTATGTGAGTCTGCTGTAGTGCTGTTTACAAAAACCATCTCCAATAAGTGTGAGTGGAATTCCCACTAAAGTCCACCTTACCTCCAGCATGCTACTCTCATATTTGTTACTATCACCATCTGTTCTCACATTCTTCTGTTTCTCTTTCTCTCTCTTCTTAGCCAGTCTCTTACTTTGAGATGACTTCTTCACTTTGAACACTTCTCCTTCTTCCTCTGCAAATAAAAATAAATAAATGTATATTATCATTGAGTACCGTCAATATAGACACAATTAAATAACAATAGGTTGCGGTCACCAGTGACCACTTAGTGTTTGACCTGTAAGAGGAGCAGATATCTCACAGATTTTAGGTACAATAATGTTGAAAGTATGTTTCTCTTACAATTTTCTGGCAGTACTGGTAACAGTCTCAGTGTATTGTAAAAATATATGAGTATGTAACTATATAACATCCTATGTCCCCTAGATGGGACAGACGGCATCCACACAGAGATCCTACATCTCAGAATAAAATGAGTGGATACACTAAATTGATAAAAAAGTAAATAAACCAAACAATCACTCAAACATGTACATCAAACTATTTTTATTGGACTTATTGGTTTGTTATTGACTTCTAACCCCGAGTTGAATTGTTACTTTACCTTCGTCAGCAAAACTCAATAGAGTTGTACTCTTCACAGATTTCACTTCTTTCTTCTCTTTCTCCTTTTCTTGGCTGATGACTGGCGGCGGCGGTGCTTCAGGTTCCCCATCCTCATCATCATCAGCGCAAAACATTCGACGTTGAATTTTTTTCGGCTTTCGAAACACAAACGACATTTTGTGTTTTATTCGAACACACAATAAATTGCGAACTAGAATGAATAAATCCGTAGAATTACGATTTATTTTTGGTTACTAGGTAATGTCATTTCAGATTTCAGATCAAAAATTTTGACGTGAGGATTTTGAAGTCTCCACTCCATCAATTCAAGTATCAAGCACAGACACTCAAATTATTCAAAGTTTTGTCTAGTGTTGATATCGTCAAATATGTCAAAAATTAGTCGATGACGAATGTACCAAATTCTGTTACACCTCGATATCTAGTCAAAAACATACGTTGTTAAAATTAACTTACTTTTGTTTTAAATATTGGCAAGTTTCTAAATTTTGACATACGCAAATAAACCATACATTTGTATTTTATTGAATATGAAAAACGTGTGTATTTATTGCTGCGCATCAGACACACGCAGAGTTTCACAAGCAATATTTAATAATATTAAGTGTTAAGTATGTGCATAATATGAATATGTGTGTTACTAACTTCCTAGTCCTTACATCTCATAGGGACTAGGATATGAACTCGTACGAAGTCGTATGCATATAATGACTGCCGATAGGACTGCCGAGAAATTAGCTGATCCAAAGCCATAACCAGTAAAGAATAGTACAAAAGAATTAGACTCATATTTTTTTTATACATGTCGAATTTCTATGTCGGCTACAAATTATGGTAATAAAATAATTAGTAACAAATTAATATTTGTAACACAATATAATTTAATTAATACTTTATAAATGAATAAGTATGATAAATACTTTATTTAATCAATAGAGATTTATTTTATCAATAAAAATCAATATCCATAGAAATCTGTACTTAGTCGATTTTCAATTATCGACTTCATTTAAATGGCAACGGCAACAAATCTATGAGAAGTCCCAACTCTATCTCTATCATTTGTTGTCCCGCACTGAATTAAGTGCGTTTGGTTTTGGTGAGTTTTTAAATAATTAAATCTTAATTTATTTCATCAATCATGTGTTCAATATTAATAATGTGGTCTACTTGGTCGATCAATAATATGATTTTATATCCGCAACGAATATTTTACTTAAAAACGCTAGTTACATGACGCATCGATCCTATTTTTTGTTTCCTTTTACAGTCCTTAAATTTCTACGAAGTCCCTACACCACACGCCAAGATGGGTAGGGAGGACAAGGCTACCTGGAAGACTAACTACTTCACCAAAATCATCGTAAGTTTTACCTCTTTATGAACTTTTTACTTTCCTAACCTCAATTTACCATATTGAACTCGTACTAGTGAAACTAGATGTTACATTCGTAGTCTAGCGCAGACATCTCTTTGAGATCATTTCTCATCATCATACTTCACGTTCACCACATTTTGTGTTATTGTCTTTATATTTTACAATGTATTTAAAACCATCGCTTTGTTAATTTTACTCTTCACTGATTTTGCAATCACGCTGACGCTTTAGCTCAGACATGCGTCAGCTTAAGACCCTCGGCCCTCGCATGTTCAAGCATTGTGGCCAAATCTCGTAGTAATAAACGACTGTTCATCTATATATCAATAACACTAACTGATACTGGTGATGACTGTTATCGTGATCGTATTCTCAACTTGAACCTAATTATTACAATTTTTACTTATCTTGCGTTTTCTTTATTCAGCAACTCTTAGACGAGTACCCAAAATGTTTCATCGTGGGTGCAGACAACGTAGGCTCGACCCAAATGCAGCAGATCCGTATCTCGCTGCGTGGTCACAGCATCGTCCTTATGGGCAAGAACACCATGATGCGCAAAGCCATCAAGGACCACTTGGAAACCAACCCAGCTCTTGAGAAACTGTTGCCACACATCAAGGGAAACGTTGGCTTCGTGTTCACCCGCGGAGACCTCGTTGACGTCCGTGATAAGCTGCTGGAGAACAAAGTGCGTGCTCCTGCCCGTCCTGGTGCCATCGCCCCTCTGTCCGTCGTCATCCCTGCCCACAACACCGGTCTGGGTCCTGAGAAGACCTCTTTCTTCCAGGCTCTCTCCATCCCCACCAAGATTTCCAAGGGTAAGCATTCATGTTCTAGTCATTCTTACCATGTCTGTTCTAATACCATGGAACTTTATATTAGCTCTATGGCTTCGCTTTCAGACAACATTAAATTCTTCAAATTTATCCTGGTGTGAGATTTTGATCAGTATGCTTTGCACCGGCATTTTGAGGATACAAAAACTATCTCATTTTCTAAAAATGTATAACATAGTAAGTGGAAAGAAAGAATACAACATTTTTTTTTAATAATAACAAATAGAACACCTTACCTATTACATGTTGCATTTTCATTAGTCTAAATGATTTGTATATTTTTCCAGGTACCATTGAAATCATCAACGATGTGCACATCCTGAAGCCCGGTGACAAGGTCGGTGCTTCCGAAGCCACCCTTCTCAACATGTTGAACATCTCTCCCTTCTCGTACGGTCTTGTTGTTAAGCAGGTCAGTATCTCTTACTTACATATTTTAGACATTCTATGGTCCTTCAATATAAGTTGTTTTGCCATTTCCTGGTGTTTGCAGATAATGTGAAAGAAAGCGCTTCCGCCGCTCTACTGTCGCACTGCCAACATCCTAATGTGAAGGGGCACTTAATTTGATTCAATAGTCCAAATCCAAAGTGTTGAGTACAGTCTGCACATGTTTGTGCCTTCTGATAATTTATCTTTGGGAAAGTATTTGCTGTGTTGATCTTAAGACTATCTTGATTTCTTAATTTAGTCTAAAGTTTACAGCAGACACTTTAAAAACCAAAATTAAACAAAAAAATGTTTTATTTACTAGAATTACTGATTGTAATATAAATGTAACTTGTTCATAAAGGTCTACGATTCCGGCACCATCTTCGCGCCAGCTATCCTGGACATCAAGCCTGAGGATCTTCGCGAGAAGTTCATGGCTGGTGTTGCTAATGTAGCTGCGCTGTCTTTGGCCATTGGTTACCCAACTGTGGCCTCTGCTCCTCACTCCATTGTCAACGGATTCAAGAACTTGCTTGCCATCGCTGCCGTCACCGAGGTTGAGTTCAAGGAGGCTCAGACCATCAAGGAGTTCATCAAGGTAAATAGTTCATGACTCATATAACATAGTTATTTAAAATTATGCAAATTCAATATCTGTTATTGTCTGTTCTAATACCATTGAACTTTATATTAGTTCTATGGCTTCGCTTTCAGACAACATTAAAGTCTTCAAAATTATCCTAGTGTAATGTTGTCCAAAGAATATTGCACTGGCACTTTGGAGAAACATAATTTTTATTAATATTTTAATAAGTATCGAAATAGTTGTAACTTTTAAATGAATGATTTATTAATTGTGTTTCTGTATCCCAGGACCCCAGCAAGTTCGCTGCCGCCGCCGCCCCTGCCGCTGCAGCTGCCGCCCCGGCCGCTGCTGCTGTTGAGGAGAAGAAGGAGGAGAAGGAAGAATCGGAGAGCGACGACGACATGGGCTTCGGTCTCTTTGACTAAGCCTGTTCGTGAGGCAGAGACTACCCGTACACGACCGATAGGCGTGTAGGAACTGTTCGGGATGTCAAAGCCTCTTCGTCGAGCCCGTGGCTGCAACCACGTATGGGAACGGTCAACGCCGCCGGGTCTGGACACCTATATGGCGGCCGGCTTGTTCTACATTTTGTGCTTGTAATAAATGCCACCTGAACTATATCTTTGTTTTATTCATTTTTGATATTACCATACTATCAAATCAACCTCGTTATCAAAGACATTTCTCTATATGCGGAAACATTAGTTAACCCCTAAATAAGGGGGGGAAAATCATCGAATGACTGCTCCCGTCTGGGTGAGGCGGGAGGGTGTCTCTTATTGACTAAAAACCACCCTTTGCTTCTCCTGCACGTCGAGCCGGAGCCCCGGTAACCCTTTAGGTTCTCCGCGACCCCGAATCTGCATCAGCCCTGTTGGGCCCCATCCGTGATGGTCTGATGGCTCTTTGAGGCGCGCGCGGAACGCGATGCGCCGTACGCTCGGGCCTGTTTCTGGTCGGACGGGGAGCCAGCCATGCTCGCCGTCCGCAGGCCCGCGCTTACGGTGGCCGGAGGTCGTCCCGCGATCCCCGACGCCCGGTGTGTCCTTCGCGATGGTTGGGTTGCGAGGAGGCGGCGCTTCGCTGCCTCACGCGTCCCGCCTTCTAAGCTAGAATGACTGCTTCGCAAAAGGAGGAGACGGCATCCCAGTCCCCCTCGCTCCCCATCATGGCTTGCACTAGGCCCGGACGCGAGAGGTCGCCTTCGCAGATCACTTCCCTGGGGGCACGGCGGTGCTCAGCCCACGCAGGGCATTCCGCTACAGTGTGTCCCACCGTATCCTTAGTAGTAGTATAATGTGCTGTCTAACGACTAGAGGAAAGGCGTCCTTTACTACATAGATGTTATGAATAATAATTTTGAGAATGAGATATCTTTGCTGACAGCCAAACATGTGAGGAAATCAAATCCATGACACGTTTCATAGCAATAGCAGTCAGTAGACTGCAGCCCAAATCTAATGGTGAGTGACACGATTGTTAGTGTACAACTTTTCAAGTTAGTAGAAAATAAAAACATTCACATTTAGTTCTTTATTTACCTAAGTACTAAAATAATCATACAAGAATCCTTCATAAACAAATAACAAAATACAATTAATGGGTATATTTATCACACTAACATCGTAAACTGTAATATTGTAATTCGTATCTACTAATACTTCCAGCTAAATACGTACTGAAGCAGTGAGCGACCGAGGCCGTTTTACTAATTCGTCGCCTCGCAGCATTATTTGCCAAATTCGATCCTTGACTGACAGTCTCTAAAACTAGTTGTTTGATTTATGTGAAAATAATTCATTTATCGCAAGGCAAGGAATCGTAATCGTTCGCTTGTTCAGTAGTGGTTTAGCAGACAAAAATGAAAGAATGGCATAGAAATGCATTGTTATTGCAATTTTGTAGTACTACAAGCACTAAATTGTATGTAAATACCGATGACGTTGAAAAACAGACGGACATAGGTAGTCTCTTGAAAAAACGACTGTGGCACCTGGCTACTGTAGACTTACACGCAGAATACACACACATTCATACTCACGCGTAAAGTTAGTACATAGATAGCAAAACATATACATACATACACACTCTCACACACACCTTCACATACACTAACACACACACCCACATACATCATCCTTAATTATCTCTTTTGGTAACGTAATACTCACTTTCTTTTTCTCTTTTTATATCTTTATGTCACTTAACACAATATTTGAGAGAATAATTAGCAATATAAGCATTCATAATTTTGTAATACTCAACGAGGGAACACTGGCCCCCAAAATACAGGATCACCTAGTTTGGGAGGTAGCGATTTCATAAATTGTAAGCTGTAATTGTATGCCTATACCTAAAATCAAAAATTGTAACTCGCTTGTTTTTAGTAAATAAAGATTTTTATTATTATTATTTATGAAATTGACACAAAAGACATCTGTCGCGTGACATGGCCAATCATTACGCTTCATACATAATGGTGTTACAAGTATCACACGTAAATACACCACTTGACATTTTGGTACTTCAATAATTTCTAAGACATCTGCCTTTTTTCAACGTCCTTGATAAATACACTAATTAATAATATGTATATAACCTGCATGAATACTTCAAGACTCAAGAGCAGTATCGCAATTTGGTGAATTTTAAAATTGTGGGTACTTTTACATAATGATCTGACGTCATTTCACTGTTATGTTCATGTAGCACTTCGTCAGTATTAACCGTTTGAATGCACTGATATGACGTTTAGACAAACGACGTTTTAAAAGGGGTTAAGCCAAAGCGCACCCAATCTCACTTTGGGAGGGAAAGGACAAGTCTAGTGCGACTGTGCGATTTTGTCAAAAAACATCAAAAAGGTAGTTTTATGCAATTAAACTGTCAAACACCAAGCGGTCACCGGTGACCGCAACCTATTGTTCTATAATTGTGTCTACAAAACCGGTACTCGACGAGTTAATGGACGGCGCCCTATATCGACGAAGTGCAAAAACCTATTTGGCGGACTGATGGAAAACCTTATTTGGCACAAATGATTGTCAATACTGCTCAAGAGTTATGTTAAACAACGAGTGTACAAAAAATCTATTACCTATTTTGTTTATTATTCTACTTTATTAATAACAATTCATTTAAAGCATTTTGCGCTAAAATATGCAATATCTATGCAGCGTAGATATTGGGTAGACTACACCACAGGAAAAGTGGACATGGGTTTGATATTCTTCTCAAAATAATAATGATAAGATAACAATAAGACTTATTGTAACTTTTCACTAAGATAAAAGATTAAACTGTTATAAGTATCTATTATTATTTATTGATTACAGTTATTATGACATGGTTTAATGTTTACATCTAACACCGATCGTACGTAACATTTAACAATATTTGAGAATCTACGAAGTGGAGTGTTTGCGGAATCTAAATGTTTCTCGAAATCGTCACTATTATTAGAGGTTATTAATTTCATTGTAACTCTGATAATTGCGGGACCAGACATATACTAACTCTGCTATTTTCCAACACATTTTCTTTGTTTGTAGTCCCAAAAGTAAAAAATATCGCGCTGATTCCAGTTTCTTTATTTAATGTCCCATTTCAACAACAATTCAAATACCTATAAGGTTTTATCACCCATGCCCTTCCATATGTAATGACAGATCAGTTCTGAAGGAAGGGCAGTCTCTACTATTAATCTACCAAACTACATGCATGTCACATGCACTAGTAAACTTGGCCCTGAGCATCTCAGCTCTCCATAGCCTATTGTCTTTCTTAGTCCATATTTTTACTTAGTAGCTATCTAAAAGATAAGCTCCTATCATCTGACTTATCACTTGATTTTTTTTAACTGAAATACAAATATTATAAATAGACAGTTAGAATTTATAATAATTAATCAATAAAGACTAGACATTCTTCTAAAGAAGATAAAATTCTTAAAAAATAATTAAATTCTTGAGATCATTCAGATATTTTATAACTACATATAGTGGTATGTCAAAAACAATTTCCGAGTCTTTTCTACTCCTCTAAGTGCATTGTTAACTTAAATGCACCGTCACTGTCGACGCTCCGCAGTACTGGAGCTGATTGTCCACGATAGACCCGAATTTTCGGATCAGTGATAAATACAATTCCATCAATAAAACAATTTTTCCTATTAGTTGCTATTTCTTTCAGATCTTGCACTAGTTCTATTGAATACCAGCACAACACAGCATTGGCTAATCCATCTTTAATTATTGGGACATCAATTACTTCAACACCTTCTGTACTATCACTTGTTCCAAACACGCAGACCTCTGATAATGGAGTGTACTCCAAATGGCCAAAGTCAATGCAAAAATTCTGTGTCACTTGGTATGGGTTCAAGTGCTTAGATATCTTGTAGTTGCTGACATTCTCATCATACAATTTGTTGTTTATATCCAGCCAATGACTCTTGACTATTTGACCCATTAGCTTTATGCTGGCGGGCAAGAAAAGCCCTTCCTGAATTAAATGGTGCTGTTTCAAGTGCTCGGCCATTGCTTTCAAGCGCAAGTCAATTTCACCACAAACTTCAAAAATATTGCAAAATATGGCATGGAACTTTTCATCCTTGAAGCCTTCTTGTGACCACTCGTCGCCTATCAAAATAGTTATGTTTGACAAAGGGATGTTATTGCATTCAAAAACTATTTCGAAAAATTCTTTATCACTGTCAGTTTTAGCACAGCATGTCAGTGACTTTGCTCCCCTCATCAACAGATATAGGCCAAAAACAGGAAACGGACACAAATCAACTACAGTTATTTGAGACATTTCTGCCATCTGTCCTAGATAAATGCAGGTTGTCCCAATACATCTAGCTATTGTATTTACATATTCAATGTCATTTAGGAATCTGATTGTTTCTGGGGAAATTCTGATAATAGAATCATCTTTGTACATAGTCAACTTGCCACCATTCAGTGAAAAATACATTGGGATGATATCATTTTCCACCACCTGTATAGGTATTTTATCATAAAAGATTGCTTGTTGCCATGCATTAGCTCTCCGGTCAGATCTGGGGTCTGTTGTTATAGTAACATTATCTGTCAAATATAAATTAAAAAAGCCAATCACAGTATTAATCTCACCAGTTTCTTGCACCACCATCTCAGCTTCACAATGGTCCATCTCTATTAGGTTCTTCAGCTCTTGGCAGTTGTTGAAGTCCACACATACCAGAGACTTGGCCTCTGTGATGTACTTGATATCATCGCCATAAAAATGCACATCTTCACAATCATATGTCTCATCAAAAGTCAACACATGCACATTCATATTTTGAACATTTAGAGTGGATTTGATTGATGAACACAGCTGATATCTTTTATGCAGAAAATCACATTTGGCACCAATTATAAAGAACTCCGCCTTACTGGGAATGACCCTGGCTTTATCTGTCAGTATGTTTTCCCAAGCATGGATTAGAGATTGAAGAACATGTTCCCCAAACAATCCTGCATCAAACACCTCTGTTAGTAACAGTGTTCTCTTACCACCCGCGTCCTGTAACTGCATCTCTGTTGACAGTTTATTGACAATGATACAGTGTTCACACCCATTTTCTTGGGTAATTGAAGTTGCCAAGTCACTCATAACTTTAGAACCATCACAAGCTGTGATAATCCTCGGGGAGCATTCAGACGCATACACTGTCAACAAGCCTGTGCCTGTTCCCAGGTCCAGAATCGTATCAACACGAGGTATAACTGTCTCATGTATGGCGGCACGGTAAGCTTCGTTTCGGACTTTGTCATTAAGCATCCTGAAGTGCCAGCGCTCAACAAGAAGATTTTTAAGAGAATTAAAATTTTTTTCTGCATTTACAAAGGTATAATCTATATTAAGTGCCTCCTCAAAATGCTCCCAAGCTTTTTCGTAGAATCCACATTTGAAGAGGAATTTGCCCATGTCATTTAATATAATAATACTGTTAGGAAATGTCATTAGAGCGCGTGTGTAGTTGATAAATACATCTTCCATTTTATTGGCCGTTATTAAAACCTCATTCAATTGAGTCATCACCAAACGGAATTCACTTTCATATGCTGATTTAATTGCTACATTCTTCTCGAAAGCCATAATATACAAGTCAAAGGCTTTACTGAAGCACCCATTTGTTGTCATTTGTCTAGCCATTTCTATATCCTCTAAGCCTTGTTGGTTCATCATTCTGTAAATGTTATATTTTCGCAGACAAAAATAGATTTCGTAAAAGCTTCTCACTCCAGCTTTTAGATGTAGGTATATTATTGTGCACTTACATCGAGTCTATCTTCTCAATAATTTGCAGGCTTCCTCTGCATTTCATTACTATAATGTTTTGCGTGCTCAAATAATTCTATTTACACTGGTTTCACATTGCCAAAATAAAAAAGAAAAGCAAAATAAAGCGTTTTATTCGTTGATTGATAAATTGAGAGAAAAGTCGGGAATTCGGGATCGTAGGTATTCGTAATTTCGTATTACTCAATTGTCAGTTTGACGTAGGTCCAGTGGTAGGTAGACGTTGACGGATAAAGATGATCATAGACAAGGAACAAAACTACTGTACCTAGTAGTACACGGCCACACATCAATCTATACAAAACCAGTTTATCCTGGTGTCGCTTCGCATCATCTTTCCGCACATTTAACGTTCAGTTTATACTGGTTATGTAAAGCTCGATGTGTAGCCGTGCGTACCTACGAGAAACTACTACCTACGGTATATCTACGAGAGATCTTAGACAAACAATAACTTTTTTTCTTAACTGATTCTCTATTCTAATTGTAATAATGTTTTTAGAACTGCTTATGAATCAATTTATTTCTATAAACTGCAGCACCATATTTGCTTAATAACATTTTGCATCACTGACTCCAGATTTATTGTTTTGTTAGAATATAATGAACTAGAATGTTCACCTAAAGCATAGCAGCAGCTGTATAAAGTAGTAAAGGATGTAATATGCTACAAATCAAATTACAAATCCATTGTATTCTAGTTATAAACAAGAAACTTTTACAATGTACCAAGTTCAGAACTCTCTAAGCATATTGGTTTCTATACACAGGGTAGTTAAATGAATTCTGCGGCAGTGCCTACCCCTTTAGAAAACAAAAAGCGTTCTTTACGTCTTTGGCAATACTAGGTAGACATAATAAATAGGTATTAATAAGTCACAATCACATAAAAAGTAATTGTTGTATTTTAAATTTCATTATGATTTTTTTACAAATGTACAACATATCACAGTATTCCATGGTCCACAAATTAGTGAATAATTTCTATCTTCCTTATCACATTGAAACACATTTCTGAAGTAGTTTGAAGAAGGATATTTTTGCTCTGATATTCCCAGCTGACCATATTTGTTACACCCAGCTGTCCATACTGTATTATCATCTAAAAGTAGGGCTGAATGTTTAGATCCACAAGCAATATCTTTCACATTTCTTGTAATCTCTATGCCTTGTTCATCAAATAGACTGACTAGTGTGGGAACAGAAAAGCTTTCATTATGTTCTTCATTTAAATGTTTGATTCCCTGCTGACCAGTGTCATTCAAGCCCCAAGTATAGACATCACCAAACTCGCTGAGTGCTAGAGAATGCCAGCCACCAGCATTAATTTTGATTATTTTTATACCAGCTAGTGCATTTACTTCTGTGGGTATTTCAAGACTGCTTATGTCACCATGTCCTAACTGTAACCTCCTGAAAGGAAGAAGAATAATAAAGTGTTTCAGTGTTTTTCTACAAGTACAATACAGTAAATGGCTTCAAAACAAGATTTGATTATTAAAGCTTTGGTTTATTAAGTGGTATGCTGTATTCTTACAAAATATGTGTAACAACCTACCTGCCATTACCCCAAGTGTAAACTCTACCTTCTTCAGTTAACAACATGAAATGTTCATAGCCACATTGGACATCAATTACTTTTCCCATACAATGTCCTGTGTCCACATAACTTGGTAATATTCCACTATACACATGTCCTCTTTGTGTCAAGTACAAGCATGAATCACTTGAAAGTATAACTTTTAAAATATTATCATCTAACTTCTTTTTCTTTGTACAATCTTCTATTGGTTCTTCAATAAGAAAGTTTAGTTTTTTAAATTCTTTGTTCTTTAAATCTAGCACCCGTATAACGCTCATTTTCTTATCAACTACAATTATTTTATAATCATTGCCTGTAATACATAGTTCTTCTTTGGATTTAACACAATCATTTGGTAAGGGCACTTTAGTAAACTGATTTTCTTTCCCATCCCAAGCTCCTGATATGTGAAGTGTATCGTTTATTTGCCAAATGTTATACGACCAGTTGATCTGCAGGAGAATTGTTCGGTTTCCATCAGTTTTTAATTTATGTTCGGAGGGTGAGCAAATTCGAAATTCATTTATCACAAAGTCGTCACAGAGCCATTGATTAAAAATATTAGAGCCTGTAACGTAAAGCTCCATTTTAATACATGCAATCGACTTCTTTATATATGAATAAATGTCCTTCCATAATTATTTTGCATTCAAGCAAATTATTAGATTCAGTATTTCAATATAAAAATGAAAACATTGAAAATTGAAAACAGTAAACAGCTCATAACAGCTGGTGAAGGATTGACAGTGACAGATGTTTGTTGTGTTTTTCAATGTCAAATTTCAATCATAGACAATCAGACATATTTAATTTTCATCTCTTGCGACTTATGGTTTATGACTTCTGGTATTGGTATCCCTTCAAAACGCACTCGTATTGCTAAATGTGCATGAATGAAAAAATAAATGTTCCTAGGTTCGCTTGAGCTTAGGACCAGTAAAATTATCGAGGAATCAGGTATATAAGTGAGGTTCTGTTTATGAATCTGATATATTATATTATATGGTGTACAGTCAGTGAAAGTTTCTATTCATGTCAAAAGCACGGGCATTCCAGTAATCAATCAATAATAATAATAATAAGCCCGCAGGGCACCTTGAGGCGAGGTGACGGGCATTAGCGATCCCGCGGGCTACCATCATCCTGAGTGCTCCAGGGAGAAGTCACCGTTCCTTCTTCTCCGGCTTGCCTTAATTGGCTGGCTGGAGTGAACGATGACAAGGAACAGGTCTCCCACCTCTGGCTTGCCTTCATTGGCCGTCCAGAGTGGAGTCGCGAGAGCAGTGATCCTGCTCGGAGGGTAAGAAACTATTCGTAAGTCGCGAGTGGGCCAGGGATGCAGGAGGCTTCGGCTGGAGCAGATGATCTGAGTAGAAAGCGGTGGTAGTTTCTTAACCCTTCAGCCACTCACATTCTCGTTGCCCCTCTGTTGCTATATCTAGCAACCATTCCCGGGGCCCGGTCGGTGAGTTGGCGAGTCTCCGCCTGCCATTT